TTCATGGAGGACTCTGTTCATGGAGCACTCTTCATGGGTGACTCTTCATGGAGGACTCTGTTCGTGGAGGACTCTGTTCATGGAGCACTCTGTTCATGGGGGACTCTTCATGGAGGACTCTGTTCATGGAGCACTCTGTTCATGGAGGACTTTGTTCATGGAGCACTCTGTTCATGGAGGACTCTGTTCATGGGGACTCTGTTCATGGAGCACTCTTCATGGGTGACTCTGTTCATGGAGCACTCTGTTCATGGGGGACTCTTTTCATGGAGGACTCTGTTCATGGAGGACTCTGTTCATGGAGCACTCTGTTCATGGAGCACTCTGTTCGTGGGGGACTCTGTTCATGGAGGATTCTCTTCATGGAGGATTCTGTTCATGGAGGACTCTGTTCATGGAGCACTCTTCATGGGGGACTGTTCATGGAGGACTCTGTTCATGGAGCATTCTGTTCATGGAGGACTCTGTTCATGGAGAACTCTGCTGCTCCCTTGGTTCCTGAAGGCAGGGCAGCAGCTCAGTCATGGTACAGGGAGCAGATGGTGCCTCCTTTACCCATTTATTCCATCCCAGCCCCTGGCCTTTGGCATGGTGCACCCACATTCGGTATGGCCTCCCCCTCTTAGTCAGTCTATGTAGAAAGAAGCCACGCCTCTAGCCACACTCTCAACTCTTACTAGTCTCCTAGGCATCTCTCAGTCTAGTCAAATCGTCAGTCAAGGTTCGTTGTCACTTCACGCTGATCCTTCCACAGCATTCTTCCCGCTCCTCTCAATAGTAGCAGAGATTGAATCCAGGGCTTGTCACGGGCTCCCTGCTCCACTTTTTCAAAATGGTTTTAAGTTTTGGAATAGTGTCCTACTAAGTTTCCCAGGCTGGCCTTGACCTGACTGTGTAGCCTAGGCTAGCCTTGAACTCAGTGCTTTTGTCTCAGCATCCTTGATGTTAGTGTTTTTATGGAAGATGTGGGCACAGCTGTCACTTGGGGGGAGATCTAGACCCACGGGCCAGATTCTCCCTTGTTTTCAGCCGCCTTCTTCCTTCTTTGTAGACACACTGTTTCTTCATGGCTCTACCTGAAGGTGGGGTTGCTGAGGGGCCATCTTGGTCTGGGAAGGAAACTGAATGGTGGGGACACGAAGGTTCTGTCTGCCTTTCCACCGCAGTCACTCCCAGCCCAACCCTTTGTGTCTGTGCTGTGGAGACTGACATGCCAGCTGGCTCTGTTTGATAGGCCTGCTCCTTCTGAGGTAGTCTCGCTAAGGAGCAATGCCCTGTGGTGGAGTTTTCTTAATGGTAGTTATGTTGTCTGTCTGTCCTCTGCATCATGGTAGCCAATAGTAACCTGAGGCAATCAAATGCTTGAGTGGGCAGAATTTAATTTTAACCAATTGAAATAAAATTGTCAAATATGGTCAGTGGCTGTATTGGCCAGCATAAGGGTGGGTGATTGATGAGGAAGTTGACTTGGGCTGAGGTTTTGGGAGTCATGTTCCATGAACAAGCAGACTCATGGGTGGGTCCCGGGAGGTTCTTAGCTTTCCTTCCTTTCTCTGTGAGGGTCACCCTCGGCAGGCACCTGCTCCCCTAGAGTCTCCCTGCTTGCTGCTCCTCTGCTGGGTTACTGGTCAGGTCATCATGCTATCTGCTGTTTGTGCCTCCCCGTGGGGCTTGAACTTAACCTGAGTTCACAGGAAAAAGACTTACAGCAATATGTGCTGTCCCAGACTCTCCAGGGCTCAAAGTCTACATAACTTTTAAAGGATTGCCCATAGGTTCCTGTGCCGCCACATTTTTTCTAGTTCCCAAGTCACCCCGAGACAGAGGCTGTGGTCTGAGATCTCCTGTTTTGTGGCATCAAACGTAGATAATCGGGCACTCTCAGCCTTTTGACTTTTCCTAAGTGAACGGGTTTGTTTGTTTGGTTTTTGAGACAGGATTTCTCTGTGTAACAGCCTTGGCTGTCCTGTAGCTTGCTTTGTAGACCAGGCTGGCCTCGAACTCTCAGAGATCCTCCTGCCTCTGCCTGCTGAGCGCTGGGATCAAAGGTGTGCACCACCTCATCTGGCTAGTAAAGTCAGTGTGATAAACCATATGATTCCTTTAAACAAGTTGACAATGATGTTGAACTATTTAAAAAAGATTTACATATTTTATGGGTATGGGTGTTTTCCCTGCATGTAAGCACCACAGCTATGTGCCTGGTATCCATGAAAGCCAATGCTCCTAATGGTTGAGCCATATGTTGAGCCCTAAACTAAACTGTATTTATTCAAACTTACTGGGATTGGGGGAAGTGACACCGCCTGGAACCTCACTTCTTGTCATTATACCTCTCACCAGATGGGCTGCCTTGCCCAGAGTTTGGTCTTGGACCCTTAGCACTGAAACCAGCTTACTCAAGAACCCTTGTCGTGGACCAGGGTGTTGAGTAAGTGTGAGCTGCCACTTCAGAAGCTCAACGGGACCCAGCAGTAATCTCAGCCTGGGGGTTCCACCCACATTTTATACATTTAGGGACAGGATCCTTGTATCCCAGGCTACCCGAGAACTGTCTGTCCTACTGCCTCTGCTTCCCAAATGATGGGGTTACAGGTGGTTAATCATTACCCTGGGGGCAAGAATGAGAGCACCATAATTCTGGAGCCAGATTTGAAGCAAGCTGTATTAAATGCTGACCAGGACGATGGTCAGGTCTGTACCAAGGAATCCCAGAGAATGAATGATGTGAATAACATTAGCCCAGTACTTAGAAAGCAAAGCCTACTTCCCGCCAATTGGGCAAGCGTACACCCTGACGTATCTTCTGCCTCTATGTGGTCAAACCCATCCTGTGCAGTTGGTGACAAACACTCTTGTCTATAGGAGTAAAAACATGTGTCTTGTTATCTTTTTTTCTTATTCAAATTCGTTATTATTTTTTATCAGTTAAAAATTTCAGTTATTTTAATACCACAGTTTCCCCTCCCTCCTCTCCTCCCACTTAGCCTCCCACCCCCACCCCACCCATCATACACACCCCCTTCCCATCCACTTCTC